GCGTTCCTGATTTTGGCATAATAACTAGTTACCGTGCTCGTTACCACAATAATAACGTAGTTACTGTAACGCGTTACTTAATAACGCGTTAGTCCCAACACTGCTTATCTTACAGTGCGATTTATTTCTGCTTAATGATCTTGCACATCCTCTACAGAATATTTTATCAGTTGTGCACTACAGTGCTCCATCTCCAGATAGTAAATCTGCCAACAGACTATAACGTGAACTTACCCTGGGCCATTGCTGTCCTCCCTTCGGGTCACGCCTCCATCAATAGCCCCCTCTGTGCCACCTCTGCTCCCCTGATTCTCCTTAGCCTGATGCTCCACCACCTCCCCCTCATCCAAGGCATAGTGGAGGCGGTAATTCACCGTCTTCAGCAGCAGGAACATGGCAGCAATCACACCACAGTAGATTCCCACTATCACCATGGTTGGCGGTAGGGCCTGGAAGTAGAGGAAGAAGTAGGGAAAAAGGTTACATAGACAACCCTCTAACGGTTTCATTTTTACCCATGTTACAGCATTTTATATCCATTTTCTTTCCTGTGTTTATCTCAGCAGCCCAGGAGTGATGTTGATTAAATTTGGACATTCAGACATGACACATCATTTATAAACCCGTGAACTGGAACCAAGCACTGCCACAGAGAAAATGAGCTCTGCTAAATGCAGCTAAAAAAGATAATTACATTATTGCACCTATTGTCCCAATTATTTATGACACATCTGCAGTGTCTTAAGATTTGATTATGAATTTTATGTCTGCTTAGTGCAGCTGAGAAGGAGGCTATTACAAAAAGAGGTGACTAGATGGGCTCTAGGCTCTCTCTTGTCCTTGAGATATCCTCCTGCATCTGCTTGTAGCTCTCACAAACAGCAGCAGCGCAACTCAAACTTGCGGCTCAATATAAACCACAGAGCTGACCAAAGCATTTCCACTCCAGGAATAGAAAGGAAACCACAAACCTATTTCAAACACCCCAGTTTCTTTATATAGAAGTGAGCACACAGACATTCATAATCACGTCAGCAGTTATAAATGTGCATTTTATGTGTGCAGGACATAAAGTTTGGCAAGCAACCTTTTATTGACGTGCCACAGAAAAGAGCACCTTAAGAAAGTAAAGCCGTTTAGGAAACCTGCAAACAAAGACATTTTGAGATGAAAAAACTGAACAAGCAGCTCTCAGCTATATGATTTTGATTCCTGGGCTTTTACACGGGGAAGATCACTGCTAACATCCTTGTGAACTGTGCCCCTACGGTCACAGCTGGTAGCTTCTGAAAACTGGTGATACCGAAAATCACTGCCGACCGGAGGACAACAAATAGATAAAGATGGGGGAAGGGAAAATAAATTCACTGATTACAGCCTCACACAGTGTAAATATCCAAGTGGACCTTAACCGAAACACAGAATATGAACAAAAGAGCGTTTAGGTACGATCTAGTTGATGGACAGTAGACTGAAACCTGAAGGAGTTAAAGGCTCTTTTGTTAACGTCTCCACCAGAATAAGGTTTATTTGCTACGAAATGCTTTTGCTTACTGGATAATTTGGATAATTCAACTATACTTCAAATATTCCACTCCGTTTTCTTAGTTTAATATTAGTGTACGTTGTCTCCGCTCCAGATAATAGACCGAGACCGACCGTTAGTGAGCTGTGGCTGCTAACCTAACGGACAGTTGGTTTGGTTAACTTAAGCTGTCAACAGTCATGACAAATACATAAAGAAATACCAGTCTATGAGGTAAAAATAAATAAAATAAAATAAAATAAAAAGGAGACAAAGCGGCTCACCATGTACAGCGTGAAGGGGAAACATAGCAGAAAGAGCCAGATGTAGAGATGTAAAGCGTTGACGAACGTATTCTGATCGGGGTCGTAGTACCATCCGCCTGTGATTGAAGCCCAGACCCCCTGCCTCAGGATCTGCAAAGTCTGCGACCCCATGTTGTTTTATCCCCTCCGACGAATCCAGGCGGAACCGACCGACACAACAACCGGGGTGACACGCTGGGGCTAGTCGTCGTTCAACATGACAAACGGCGCTCTGTTTTCAGACACTGGCCTGAAAATCCCCTCTGCAGCCATCTTCTCTCTGCAGCTAGCCAGCCAGCTGGGGCACTGTTCAGTCCTCCACTGAGGAAGACTGCTATCCCACCACGCCCTGCGAGGAAGTTCTTCTTCGTGGCATCTGTACTGTTTACACTAAATATAAGACCATACGTATAAGCTTTGTGCCTTCACCCTTCTGGTTTTCACTCGCTCTCCTTATTGGAAAGTTATATTTTTCAGTGAGTAGGCACGTTTATTTGATTGTGACTCAACAGGGTGATGGCAGACATCATAAACGTATGAAATAAAAATTTAAAAATCAGCCACATATATGGAGCTTTATACTAAATATGACTAAATGGCGACACCTGTCGGTTAAAAAAATACCTGCTACATTAAGGATGCAAAATGGTACGCGAATCCTCTCCCATTAACAAAAATCCTGGTCCCACATGGTGAAATATGGCATGTCTGTTTTTCTGTGGTAACTAGTCAAGGTGGGGTGACCTCCAACCACTTTTAATATATATGGTGTTGTAAAAAAGTAAGAAGCCTTTTGTTAAATCATGAATTAACTGCACATTTTTTTGTTCAATTTCACTACTTATACCCAGGTCTGATTACAGCCAGACCTGATGAATTTAGAAATCACCAAAATAAAACATATTTGACAAACTGAAGTAGGTTAAAAGATCTTAAAAAGCAACATATCATGTCATGATCTAAAGGAACAACTGAGAAACAAAGGCACAGAAAGGATTACAAGCCTGGAAAGGATTACAAAGATATTTCAAAGGCTTAGAAACTCCAGCCAACCACAGTGAGAGCCATCATTCACAAATGGAAAAAACTTGGAACATCGGTGGACCTTCCCAGGAGTGGCTGAGGTACCAAAATTACTTTAAGGGTTTGATGACTCATCCAGGTCACAAAAGAATGCAGCATATCTAAAGAACGGCTTCCTGTAATGATCGAACCATGAACTCTGCCCTATACCAGAAAATCCTGAAGGAGAATGTCCAGCCAGTTTGTGCACCAAAGCTCAAGCGTACTTGACTAATACAGTAAGACAATGACCTGAAACACACCAGCAAGTTGAGCTCTGATTGTGTTGTTCAATGAAGAGTGGTTCAAAAATCCTCCACAGAAATGTGAAGGACTCGTTGCCAGTTATCACAAATCCTTCAAAATTAGTGTAATCAGGTACAAAATGGGACGAATGAATAAACCTACAACCACCCATGAACTCAGATCATGAGATTAATACGAATCAGGCACAGATACAGTAATGTGCAAAATTCCACCCCTCATTTCTTTACATTTTTCTTCCAATAAGTAAAAGTGTAAAGTGTCACACAAAACACACAACAAAATCCCCAGAAACCAGATGACGCAGTGTGAGATCATCTTGACAGGGAGCAGAACAAAAGGCAGCCATCATCCAAAGTAGCATGATATAAAGAAATCAGGGTTGACGCAAGACAGGAAAAACGCTACAGTGCAGCGAATCTTAATTACAGGTTGAAATAAAACAGAAGAAAAACGGATCAAATAAATGTGAAGCCTGTTAAATGTTAAGAATTAAACAGATCAGAACACATTAATCAATACCATTTAATGTATATTAAAAAAAAACATACAAAAGCAGGGCATTTCTTCCGAAGGAGATGAAAGTGTCTGAAACGAACAAGCCATGTTCGGGTCAAGAGGCCATTTGCTTGGCAGATGAGATGACACATCTTGTTTGTAAAGCAGACAGCGAATTAAATGATCCTCTGAAGTCACTACAACAGAACCATTAGCATGATGTTGACAGTAAGCTGACACCGATGCTGATGTCAGCTTATCATCATCAAAAAAAAAAAAAATCCTCCCCCACTTCAAATTGCTTGTTTGTGCTACAGCTGCTTGAAGCCTATCAAGGGCACAGGACTAATGCTGCAGCGTAAAAGGAGTCTCAGCACTTACATAAACAACTGACTCCTTTTATTTTCAGTATTCTAAAAATTGATCAAATAAGCAGAGAGTTGGGGAGGTAACACAAATGTCTCAAGTCATTTTCCCAGTGAGTGATGTAGGACTTTGCAGAGCTGTGCGCAACCTTCCCAGTGTCTGACAAATATGGCTGTCACTGCAGTCTTGCCCTTTTCTCAGGAGGTGGTTTGTTAGGTGGAGCTGGGGCAGAGGACTTGGTTGCCTGCTCCCTCTCCTCTTGCTTCACTGTTTCTGTGGGAGGTTCAGGTTCCTTTTTCACCTCAACTGCAAAACAAAAGCCTGTAGTTAAAAGTAAACTCAAGAATTTGGCCTTGAAGGACAGACATTAAAAACGAAACTTAACTGATTTTAAAATTGAAATATTCAGCAGAAAAACTAATTGATTTTCTTTTAGTTTAATCAAACAACATGAATTCAATTCTGAAAGTAAAAGCAATGCTTCACATATGAAAATAAATTAACATATTAGTAATCTGCAGAGTGTTAAGCACTTCCAGACAGACCCTGATAGACTCTTATTATATATCATAATGATCTATAAACAAAAAACAGTTTTAAATATCATACCTGGAATGGGCTTCTCACCAGGCTTAGGCTAAAAGTTCAGAGAAAAGCAAAACAAAACAAAATCAATACGATTGACTCCTCTTAGACTCAAAATTGAAATGAACAAACTGGACAATAGCTGACAGTACCTGATAGAAAGTTGGTGGAAATTTTGACCTCAGGTCCAAAAGGAGTGTGTCAACGCGATGCCTCTGAAACAGAGAGCTAGGCTCCTCTTTCTTCTTAGTCTTTGGTTTGGCTTTTTCTGTATAAGAGATTCATGTTAATCACTTTCTGTCAAAGTCATTATTTTAAATAAACAAGGAAAACAGGTTCTGGCTCCTTCTTTGTTGCTAGTGTTTGTGATCACATCACATAACTGATAATCAGAACTTTAACATCTAAATTGTAAACTGCCAAACTGCTTACCTCTCTCCTCATGGTCCTTGAAGTGCCACCAGTATCCCTTGGATGGGTGATAGCGACAATAGGACATGGCCTCATCAAAAGCAGACTGGATTCCATGTACAGCGGAAAGCTAAAAACAGATATGATTAATATAAATAACACTGATTTTTTTAATCAATGTTACACAAACCTATCTTTTACAGAATTACAATGAATATTTTTACCACTCTAGAGCTGATAACTGTTCCCAGGTCTGGAGCCTGATACACGACTCCAGCTATGATGTAGTAATCAGCCAAGGGAACCACTGTAGTATGAACAGAGAAGCAGAAATTCAACTGATGTGAAATGAAGACTTTACAAATCTAACAAATAACGGCTTGAGTGTTTGGAACTCACCTTGAGTCGGTGACTGCCTCTGTTGTTTACGGATTATATAAAGAATTGGCTCCTGAGCATGAAGAAGGATGTATTCAACTCCCACCATCTGACTGTAAATGAGACAGAAGCAATGTTTTCACAAATCGGCAGATGTGGCAATATTATAATAGTATTACTTGTCTGTGTGTGTATGCGTTTGGGCTCTACTTGACAATATGATTTTGATCAGAATGTCTCCCTTCATAATACTTAATGTAATATGTTTAAAAACCTTTTCACTGCTCTGTATCAAATTTCCATCTATAAAACAAACTTACTTCAGATGATCCACGGTAAGCCGCTGCATCTTCACTACCTCATTATTGCAAGTACGGTCATAGAAAGGGTTGCTTCTGTCAGAAAAGTACTCCAGCACATTTCCAGGATTAAGACCTGGTACCCAATTGCTGTCCACCCAGGATATCCCGAGAAGGTTATCTGGAAATTAAACAAGCATTCAATTTATGAAATTATATTATTAACTGATGCTGCCTGAGAAATAACTGTGAGTGCATTTATATGTTAGGGATGAAATCACATCTCAGCTTGACATGGATATTGTCAATACTGATAGCATTTTATTGATGAAAATGTCTTGTTAAACAGCTATAGAGATGCCTTCTTTTTCTGTGCATGTGTGTTTCTGTGTGTGTGTGTGTGTGGGGGGGGGGGGGGGGTATGAATATAATTGAGGAACTGAGTCAGTATTAACACAACCTGATAATGAAAGTGGGTCAAATGTTTATGAAGGAAACATGACGGTAATTCTGGTTTCCAGGTTAACATGATTAGGCTTTTGATAATAAAAGGTTCTATTTCAGGTAATAACAAGACACTCTATTAACAGATGACTTATCTCACTGTGAAACCCGCGTTTTGTGAGAGCTGAGTTCCTCAGCAGATCCGAAATAATGCTCAAACAGAGCAGCTATTTGTATTTCTTGATTTTATATCAAATAAAATCAAACTACATAATATAGCTTCATCTTTTATATGCTTCTCTATTGCCAGTATATTTATCAGATGTTAGGATACATGAATAAAGATAATGAATAAATATAACTCGGAACAGCTAAACGGACCAGTGAGCAGCGTCCATATTACCAATAATGCAGACATCTCTTTACCAAGGATGAATAACCCACTATACTGTAAAAGTGAAGGCTATAATGACTTGAAGTTGTTTTCTGTTGTAACCACCACCAAAAGTCATTCTAAGGCTCTGGCAGACAGCATAAGCTATGCTAGCCGATATGCTAATAAAAAGCGAAGGAGACGCTACTCGTTAACAGATTTTCTTGCAGCACAGACGAATAAGCTTGAAGCTGCAGAAAAAAAACAATCAAGGCGCTGTTTCGAAGTTATAAATAACATGAGATTTTTATACTAATTAAACTGCACATCTAAAAAAAAGAATATAATGGATTTAGCTACCTCTGAAATCCACCGACGCCATGATATAAACAAATGGTCTCCTAAAGATTACGTCTCTGGTCTTTAGGTCGTACTTTGATTACGTCATTGTACTTTTCGGCTGAGAATGTGATTAAGAGATGAGAAATGCTTTTGCTACAGCAGCTGAAATGGTGGTGAAATATTTCTGTTACTACTACTACTACTAATAATAATAATAATAGTAATACGAATAACAATACTAATAATACTAATAATAATGATATGACAGATATATATGACAGATATATAATGTTAAAGAGGGTGATGGCATGTGGTATGAAAGACTTTCTCTGTTTTTGTGGCAGCAGAGCTGAATCAGTCTGTCAGAAGAGATGCCTTTTAAATAATTTATTTACAATTTAATCAGTAACCTTCTCTTCACCACAGCTTTACTAGTCTCCAATTTACAGCCAGTCACAGAGCTAGCCTTTATCATCAGTTTATTCAGTCTGTGGGTGTGACCAGCTCGATCTCAGCTTTTTTGGAAAATAGTTTAGCTTGTGGATATAGACACCTAGGTATTTCCTGTCCCAGGATAGACATAGTTCATTTGGTTTTCCTCTTCCTTCTGAAGCCTATCTCCACATCTAGTCTTATTATTCACAAGCAGAACTCCTCCCAGACCACTCATCAAAAAATATCCAGTGGTGCTCAGTAGTCCTCCTCCTGCCCATCACTAATACATTCTGTAATTGGCACAGCCCAGAGGTGTACTGAAATTCTTAAGTGTAAAGCATGAGCAGGACTGGAGGCAGCACAGTCTCAGTGGAACTCCTTTGCTGCTCATCACCAGATCAGTCAAAAGCACTGCCCAGTCTCACATGTTTTGGTCCGTACTCAGTAATCCATGAGATCGATCAATCAATCAATCAATCAATCAATTCACTTTAGAATAAATATGATCCTCCCCACCTACCAGTCATTACTATCTAGAGTGAAATAAGCTGTATACAGTATGCAGATGATTGCACCGTCCACTCCCAGATTTTGTGTTTATGCAGACTGCAGAGGGTTAAGAGATGTATTTCACCTGAGTGTTCAGAAATAATGCAGAATAATGAATGTTTATTCATTATGTATTTAAAAAGTGCATGCATGAAGTGGAGTGTAGGACAGAAAATTGTGCAAAAGTGTTTTATTATTATTTTTGATCACAGATAGAAAATATGCTATGATTCTAGGATAAAATAATAATAATACCAAGATAATGTTACCCAGAATCTACACAGTCAATGTAAGAGTCCAAATGTTAACGTATAATTCTTGTGATGGGCAGACCGTATTTTCCATTAGGTTCCCATTGTATAGACTTTATAGACTTTATAAAAAAGTTCATACAAAAACTTATTATAAGATTTTTTTTAAACTAAAATTATGCTTTATGGAATATCTTATTGTAAATGTACGTTTTGTAATTACCCCATGCTAATTTTAACTAAAGCGTTCACCACCAGAGGTCAACATTTTGCCAGTAGATGTATTGAAATGTTTTTTGATGCCTGCCATTTTTCTTATAACTTTTCTTTTCTTTTTAGGCCTAATTCAATTTCCTTATACCCTCAGTTATACTCCATTGTGGACGTGTGCACAGACTTCTGGAGGTATAATAATAAGGCAATCTGTTTAGTTATTTGGTAAGATTGTCAGCTAGTTTTTAATATAT